TTCGGCCCAACAAGTCCACACCGACCCTCAGAGCATCCCACCCAGACACATTCCCCTCTAACCCATCTAATCTGCACATCCCTGGGCAATTTAACATGGCCAATCCACCTACCCTGCTCATCTTTGGACTGTGGGAGGAAACCGGAGCACCCGGTGGAAACCCACGCAGACACGGGGAGAATGTGCAAATCTACACAGACAGTCGACTGAGGGTGGAATTGAACCTGGGTCCCTGGCGCTGTGAGGCAGCTGTGCTAACCACTGAGCCACCATGCCGCACCTGGGTGTGATTCCAGCCTCGGGCGACTGTCTGTCTGAATGGAGTTTGCACATTCTCCCTGTGTCTGTGTGGGTTTCCACTGGGTGCTCCGGTTTCCTCCCACAGTCCAAAGGTGAGCAGGGTACGTGGATTGGCCATGCTAAATTGCCCATAGTGCCCAGGGATGTTTAGGTTAGATGGGTTAGACATGAGAAATCAGGGGTAGGATAATGGGTCTGGGTGGGATGCTCTTCGGAGGGGCGGTGTGGACTTGTTGGGCCGAATGGCCTGTTTCCACACTGTAGGGATTCTATGATTCTATGAATGTTTTGGTTTGATCCCCATATACAAAGGCTGAACAGGACCAAACTGCTTTAGTGATTGTGTATAAAGATGTTTTTATGAATAAAATATATCGTGATTTGCTCAGTGCCAAACACTTGACTGCCTTATCCCTTACCCATCACTGCTTCCCACCTGCTCACCACCCTGCTGCCTCGTCGTTCACTGTCCCCTTGGAGGGAATGAGGAGCGAGGTAGTGAGAGGGCCGAGGAGTAGACTGAACAGGAAGGGTAGCAAGAGGAGCACTGATTTGGGGGGGTGAGGGGAGATGGTGCTGAGCGAAACAGCGAGAGGAGTGGTAGGAGGGCTGGGGCCGAACGCACTGAGTGAAGTGACGAGTGCAGCCCTGAGCAGGTAAAGGGTGGTGAGGGTTCTTTTGGAATTGGTAATACTGTGCAAACACATATGGGAGGAGTTGGCATCATCACCTGGCTTTCGATAGCATCTGAGGTGCCAATACCAGTGCAGTGACAGGAGATGCTATGATCCTTAAAACCTACCTCTGCGACCACGTCATAATCTCCCCTTGTTAAACTTTGTCTCCCAATGCTGTAGTGAAGTTGGCATGGTTTACTAATCCAAAAGTGCAGGTTGCTGTTGAAGTGACCGATTTGATCACCTTTTTGACTACTCTTCCACCTCCTTCAATTCAGCTGGTGTTTCTGCTTTCCTTCTGGCCCTGTACAGAACCTCCTGGGTCAATGGGCTTCAGGAATGTGGGGTTGTGGGTGTTGATGCTTTCAGTCTCCCCCAGTGAAGGCAGTGGTGTTGCTTTAAAAGAGTTTGTCTCTTCAAGATGCTACAAGAGGGGAGAAAAGAAACAGACCTTCCACCCATCCTGTACAATCTGCGCTTGTGAATCAACAGAACACTCCAGTGTGAATGTGCACGGAATGCCTAGATAGGCCCCACGGTTTCGATGTTACAGTGCAGCAGCCCAGCTGCCTGACTCTGTCGACTGTGATAACAAGCCCACGTAAAAGCAATTAAAAACGCAGTTTCGGTTAGTGATGATGAGTTTTGTGTTAATCACGGTGGACTTTGAAAAGGAAAGCCGCTCATTCTGTGCTGCTTCGGGTTTTTTTAAAACACATTGTCTGTGCCCTCTGGGAGAACCTTGTGTAATTGCATACGTGCAGTGAGAACTGGGTGTGTGGAAGAGGCGCTTCTTATTGTGATAGAAATGTGTTTTTGGTTTTACAGTTCAGCAACGGATTTATCAGGTATAACCTCTCAATATCTCAAAATGATAAGGTTACAATTTGCAGGTTATAACGGGAAAGAAGTAATTAAACGGGCAATTATGTGAGTGTAGTGATAGACTGCAACAGATCCCAATACGCACAAAAAGAAAATTAATGTTGTGGCTTCATATTGGAGGCAGATCGATGTTTACAGCAAAGCTTTTTGTCAGCAGCTAACCAGGACTTAGTAAATTACTTGAATATTATGCGGTTTTTTTTTCATTTTGTTGTAAATGCTCAGTATGAGAAACAATTTGACGGGCATGTCGTGCTATTTGAGGTTCCTTTTACCCAGGTGAACTGAGGTGAGTTTATGCTTGATATTCCACATGATTAGTGTGTGTTAAAGCTATAATTATATTACTGGACCAGGAATGTACAGTCTGTCGACAGGAGTTCAAATCCCACCATGGCCAATGGAAAATTTGGTTTTAATTCATTAGTAAATCTTGGATGAAACTTTACAGGACAGGTTGGTTTGGGACACATACATGCTCTAAACTCCCTGCCATGTCATTTTCACCATGATCATAATGCACTACTATGATTTTAAGTAGCAATGGAGGAGGAATTGGCAGACCCGTGGGCCTGTGGTCCACTTATGGTCCTCAAGAGGGGGAGATGTACACCAACTCCCCATGTTATCATTATATCATAGAATCCCTACAATGTGGAAACAGGCTCTTTGGCCCAACAAGTCCACACTGACACTCGGAGCATCCGACTCAGACCCATCCCTCTATAACCCACCTAATCTACACATCCCTGGACACTATGGGCAATTTAGTGTGGCCAATCCACCTAACATGCACATCTTTGGACTGTGGGAGGAAACCAACGCAGACACGGGGAGAATGTGCAAACTCCACACAGACAGTCACCCAAGGGTGGAATCGAACCCGGGTCCCTGGCGCTGTGAGGCAGGAGAGCAAACCAATGTTGCCGAGCAAAACCCTATGGCTAGGCAAGGGTGGGTTTTGCCTCTGTTTCTAGTTACCTATGCATATTGGAGGCCATCCCCAAGGTTGTTTTCTCTTCTGCACTCTGCCCTGACAATCGTAAACACCCCTTCTCCATCTCTTCCTGGCGATCTCACTGTAGTTCTAGCAGTGGCCATCGCTACTAATCAAACACCCAGTGGCTCTAAAGTAGCACTTCCTCCAGGATTGACGAGGATGATACCAGAATCGAGAGATACCAGCCTGAAAGATTGAACATATGGCGATGGTTTCCTCTAGAAAGATGAGGACTGGGATCTTTTAAAATCATGAAGGGGTTTGTTAGTGTAAATGTGGAGAGCTGTTTTCATTTGTAGACTTGTTCAGATCCAGGGGCCGTAATTATTAGATATTCAAGTGTAAAGGCAATGGGGAATTCAGGGCACAACATCTTTGCCCAGAGGGTGGTGAGAATGTGGAACTCACTCCTATGGGGAGTGGTTGAGACGAGGAGCGTACACTTTTAAGGGGAAGCAGCAAAAACTTTTGAAGGAGAAAGGATTGGAAGAACATGCTGCTGGGGTTAAAAGGAGGATGGAACAAGACTCATTATTGAGCACAAGTGCAAGTACGGAATTGATGGGCCAAATGGCCTTTTCCTGTTCTCCTAATTCTTTGTAAAATTTTGGAAGGTTTTCTCACCCATTCCTCTGACTTTTCACTTGTGTCCTGTGGTGTAGGCCATTTGCTTCTGTAGTTGGGGTTCTGTAGACAGAGTGTCCTAGACTGTCCTGTCCTCCTCACTAAACTTCTTTTGCAGCTTGTTGATTGGGTTATAGATCAAAAGTATCTACATTGCTTGTTTGTGGACTAATTTAGCTCATTAGCGAGCCTCTCACTCCTCTCTCTATCTAGAATTTGCCCTTGAATTTTGGCAGCAAGCTTAACCAATGTCCCCACTTTACTGATTAAAGTGATTGTGAGAGCGCTTTTAGATTGTCCAATCACTTTACAGTCTTCTGAACACCATATTAAGTTGAACAATTTGATATTGTAACTGCTCATCTCAATTCTTGGACTGCTCTGCTATATGTATCCCCTCCAGATTCCCGTTTTATTCTTTTCACGTGTCCTGTTATTTTTATTCATTCACGGGATGAGGTGTCGCTGACCAGGCAGCATTTATTGCCCATCTTATTGTCCTAATTGCCCAGAGGGCAGTTCAGAGTCAATCACATTGATCTGGAGTCGCATGTAGGACAGACCAGGTAAGGATGGCAGTTTCCTTCCCTAAAGGCCAATTGTGAACCAGATGGGTTTTTCCGACAATTGACAAATGGGTTCATGGTCATCATTAGATTCTTAATTCCAGATATTTGTTGAATTCAAATTCCATCATCTGCCATGGCAGGATTTGAAGCCAGGTCCCCAGATAGTTATGCAAGTCTTTGGATTAACAGTCCAGCAATAATACCACTAGGCCATTGCCTCCCCCAGTGTTATTGACTACCATCTTGTTTTTGCCTTGCATCATGATCTATTTTTGATAATCAATTTCTCCTGGTTTGCAACTATCACAGATTTTGTACCTTGATCAGTCCTCCCCCACCACATTACCGTGGCTGTCAAACTTTATTACTTCTCTCTCTTTTCCCAGATCTGAACCTTCTAACTCCGCTCCTCTCTCAATAGAGGCTGTCTAACCTGCTGAATATCTCTAGCACTTTCTGTTTCAATTATGTACCCAGACGTTTGTTTGTGGGCTTTTTTTTGGATCGATGATTTGATTTTGAGCTTTGCAGTGACAGGTCTGTACTTTTGAAAAATAACAAAGGAAGAAATATCAAATGATGCTGGTATAAAAGTACTTAGGAACAAGAGGAGGCTGTTTAGTCAAATGAGGCTGTTCTGCAACTCTGTCAGATATGACTGATATGCCGTCTAACTCCCATACCTGCTTTTGATCCATATCCCTAAATAACTCTGTGTAACAAAATCTTACCAATCTCTGATTTAAATTTGACAGATAATCTAGCATACGTTGCTATTTACACAAGAGAATTCCAAATATCTACCACCATTTGTGCCATACATTTATAATTTATAAATTATATTTATAATCTTATGATGATATCTCCTGTTTTAATGCCAATAATTTTAGTTATTGGGGACAAGCATTCTGTGCAAGGTTGAAAATCCTACCTTGTCCATTTCAGGATTCTGAAGCTGATGACCTGGAGAAGACTTGTTTGATCCAGTCACCATCTCGAGCCTTTCTTGGTGAAGTATTACATTGGACAGCTACGTCGCTGGGATTCCCCAACTTGAAACAATTGCAAGGTTTGTTTTTTTCTCCCTCATTTAGTGAGTCTGGTTCATTCACCTCTATCAGTTCTGTAAAATTCTCTCTAACTTTTCTCATACACCATTCAGGTTGCCAACCATCCAGGATTGCCCTGGACTTTCGGGGAGTAGGTGAGCAGGACACAGCTAAGATAAGAAGTCACAGGCCTTTACTAAAAGAAAGGAACATTTTTCTTAAAACCGAAACTATGGATGAAGGAAATCTGAAATAAAAACATAAATTCTTGAAATATTTAGCAGGTCAGGCAATGTCTGTGAAATCAGAAACAGCAATTAACATTTCAGGTCTGTGACCTTTTATGTTTTTTTGGTTTATATTTGGTCATTTTCTTAAATTTCTTTTCCACTAATGATGTTTGTGTCATCCTTTATTGGCATTTTCTAAGAGAGATCTTCTGAATGAAGGATTGAGTACAAGATGAAGACCAGATGCCAGGTCTCACTGGCCACTCAGCTCTAGCTCATCACCACCTATCATGGCCACCTTCTGTCTCGTTGTTATCAGACTGCTTATCTGACATTCAATCCTGGATGATCCTTCATTTGCTCTAGATAATTGTCAGTTGTTGCAAAACTGTTTGAACGATATAAAGTGAAGGCATCACAGAACAGAATCACAGGAGGCCATTCAAATCTTCTGGCTGTGCTGACCCTTTGAAAGCGCTATTGAGTCACTCTATTTCTGCCCAGACCTCCGATTGCCCTTTCTTCATTGTCCTGCAATTTTCTCCCCTTCAAGTATTTATCAAATTCCCTTCTGAAAGTTACTAATGGCTGTTTGCCCACCATCCTTTTACAAGCAGCACATTCCAGATCACAGCAACCTGCTGTGGAACAATAAGTTCTGCTCATCTCCCTTCTGGTTCTTTTGCCAGTTTCCTTACATCTATGCCCTCTGAAAATGTGGCCTTCAGAAGTACAAGAGGCAATCAAGGAGGCAAAGGGTGTATTTGTTAAGTCGTGTTTTAGAAATTCTTTACAGACTAAGCACTTAAAGAGACAGAGCAGCCAGTAACCCATATTTCAAGAGGTTCAAAACATACAGAATCAGAGGTAGATTCTACCTTTTAATTTATCAAGCGCTGTCTAATTTGCTTACCCTAGGATGCACAAATTGGCACAAGTGTCTTGGCATTCACGTTGGGTTATTTTTAGGAGTTTTGACAAGTTTATTGTTGAGGGTGGTGACAGCTTAGAGACAGAAATAATAATTTCTAAAAATGATGTCTAATTCCAACAACTCTCTGTGCTGTGCTTGTGTATTGATTCGGGATACCCTGTGATATGTCGGCAAGCCCTGACTTGATTTGACATGATGGGTGATGTTAATGACAAGTTGACACAGGAAGCAGCCATTTTTCATGTGGTGTGATATGATCATTGAAGTGGAATGGGCCAAATCCCCTCCTGCTCATAAGGAAAAATGCAGCAGCTAATTTTTTTTTTGGTAATATAACAGCATCCTTTCATTTTAGGATTCAGGAACTTCTGCGGGTTCTGTGATTTCACACGGACACATCTCATTTGTTGCCCCCCCATTTTCAGATGTAGTCTTCTCACTTGGGCAAGGAATCTGGATTCAACGTGGATTTCCCTTCGAAGGAGTGGATCTTGTGGAATTGGACTTGTAAAGTGGCTAAATTTCATTGTTGTCAAGGTCCTAATCCCTGGAATTTGCTCTGGGAAACTTTTGGTGTTAAGATACTCCCTACCTCTTTGCCTAAATTTTGATCACCTGCCATAATTTGAGGCTCGGTGCCAAATGTTGTTTGACACTCTGAATGTTTTACTCTGTTAGTTGCCCTATGTAAATGCAAACCTATACATGTACAGAGTTCGAACTTGACCTCAGCCAGTGGAATGAACACTGTCCTGTTACCCACATTGCCCCGCTCTCCTCTGCTGCATAGTGATAGGATAACGCTCTTAAGTAGACACTTGTCCACTCAAGGTTGTCAGTATGCACGATGGTATGCATACCCTGATGACTCAACTGCCACACTCACCTCCTTGTTCCTGCCCACCCCCTCCAGTAACATGGTTTGGCAGGCCACCTATTGTATTCCATGTGGCCCATCCCTTTGTGTGGGAGGTGGTGATTTCATAAAAATTCAGCCCTAGATGTGCCAGTGTACAAAAATGCCTCATAGTTTCAGTTTGTATGAAGTATTTCTTTTTGTCAGGTGACGGCCTGCTTTGTCCTGGATTCCACCAGCAGAAGCAGTTTCACCGTATATAATTTTATCTCCCTGATTTAGGTCATCCCATAACCATTTGAACTTGCCCCTTCACTCTCAAAGTAACCCTTCAATCCCCAGCAATGTTCTGATGAATCTAGTGGGGATTGGTTAGTTCAGTTGACTGGACAGTTGATTTGTGATGCAGAGTAATGCCAACAGTGTGGGTTCAATTCCTGCAATGGCTGAGGTTATGAAAAAGACTCTCCTTCTCATTCTGTCCCCTCACCCTGAGGCGTGGTGACCCTCCAGGTTAAACCCACCCCAGTCATCTTTCTCTAATGACACAGCGCCCTCTGGTCTGGAAAGACAATGCTGACTTTGCCTTTACCTTCTGATAAATCTGTCTTGTAAACCTCTTCAAGGCCAATGTTCTATTCTGCTGGCTGCAGGAGAATATTGACCTGTCCATTATCCATTAATCTTGGCTATAAAATGCAGGCAACTGGATTTTTTTTTTTGAAGGGGTGGTAGGTATTTTCCATTCCCAGTTAGCTCACTGATGTGCCTTTCCTCGAGAGTTCACCATGAACAAGGTCACCTTGCCTGAGGGAGACATCCATGTGTATGAGACATTGCCTTCAGGAATGGACAGGTGTGGTACAGCACAGATCAAATTCTTTCAGTGAAATGGAATGACGGAATATTTAAAATACTCTGAATTACCCCACCCCCACTACAAAGCAAAGTAATCTCGGCACAGTCTGGTGACGATCCAAGTTGATTGAACTTGTTGGGCCAAAAGATTACAATTCAAGCAAAAAAAATGCTGTGTTGCTCACTGTTTTGTGTACTCTGTGGTCATAGATACAAGTATCGAATGCAGACTGAAGGTGAAACTTGTTATCAGTGATCTGTGATATGGGATGACAAGAGGTTCCCATCTGGCTAACTTCAACCTGTTTTGTCCAACTCGAAGCTGGCAACTTCTTTTAGTTTTACTTTCAACGTGTGTCAGATTATCACTCTAGATCAGAGGTATTCAAAAATTCTTCAGCTGACTTTGTAGAAGAGGTGCCTGCAGCATTCCCTTCCTCAAGTTGCAATTGAGACTTTTTTTTTTGGTACCTTTTTTCTGTTAATAGTCCGGCTGTAGCTAAAATTTAATGTGGATGTTCGTGGACAAGATTGCAACAGGGATAATTACCGTGGCATACCTGAACTGTAAACTACATCCTCATTTGTTTCATAGTTCTGGGTAAAACTAGAATTATAGAATCCCTACAGTGTGGAAGCAGGCCATTTTGCCCATCGAGCCCACACTGACTCTTTGAGCAGCATCCCAACCAGATCCACCCCATCCCTGCAACCCTGCATTTCCCATGGCTAACGCACCTCGCCTGCACATTCCTGGACACTATGGGCAATTTAACATGGTCAGTTCACCTAAGATGCACATCTTTGGACTATGGGAGGAAACCGGAGCACACAGAGCAAACCCACACAGACACTGGGAATGCGCAAACTCCACACAGACAGTCGCCCAAGGGTGGAATTGAACTGTGAGGTGGCAGTGCTAACCACTGAGCCACCGTGCTGCCCCAAAACTAGTTACCCTTCATTTCCACAGGGTTCCTGCTCCCTTTTACTCATGGTGCCTAGTTTCTTTGAATTATAAAATGAAAGCCAATTTTTTTTCTTCTTCTTAACCATCCCATATCTTCTGAGGTAATTTAAAATACATTTATAGGACAAGGAACTGGTTAATTAATGCTCCACAATGACTTCAAAACAGAACTGAAGACTTTTCTTTATATAGCACACTTCACAACCACTGAACAACACAAAGCTAACGAAGTACTTTTTGCAGCGTAGTCACTGTTGTATTGTAGGAAATGCAGCCAGTTGCATGTGGCAGGCCTTCTCAGCAAGGGGCCCAACAATCACTTTCCTAACTTCCCACAAAGTTGTAGGGTACATGTAATCAGGTCTGGAGGATAGGTTCAGAAAAGCTTTACAAGCATGTTGCCAGGGCTGGAGAGTTTGAGCTATACGGAGAGGCTGAATAGACTGGGGCTATTTTCCCTGGGATCGTCAGAGGCTGAGGGGTGACCTTTATAAAGGCTTATAAAATCATGAGGGGCATGGATTGGGTGAAAAGTCAAGGTCTTTTTCCCAGGGTAGGGGAGCCCAAATCTAGAGGGCATAGGTTTAAGGTGAGAGGGGAAAGATTGAAAAGGGACCTGAGGGGTAATTTTTTCACACAGAGGGTGGTGCGTGTATGGAATGAACTGCCGGAGGAAGTGGTGGAGGCTGGTACGATTACAACATTTAAAATGCATCTGGATGGGGACATGAATAGGAAGGGTTTACAGGGATATGGACCAAATGCTGGCAAATGGGACTAGAGTAATTTAGGATTTCTGGCTGGCATGGATGAGTTGGACCCAAGGGTCTGTTTCTGTGCTGAACATCTCTATGACTTTATATTTTATGTCAAGTGGAAAAGAAAGACTTGCATCTCCATAGCACCTCTCGTTACCTGGGGCATCACAGAGCTCTTTACAGTCAATGAAGTAGTTTGGAAGTTCACTGTTGTAATGTGGCAGCAAGCCAGTTAGTGCACTGATGAAGAGTCATCTAGACTCAAAACGTTAGCTTGCTCTCTCTCTATGAATGCTGTGTGATCCACTGTGATCTCTAGAATTTGTTGCTTTTGGTACAGATTCCAGCATCTGCTGTAATTTGCTCCTGGTTAGTGCATGATATTCCATAAACAGCAATGTAATCATACCGGATAATTTATTTTTCCTGGAGTGTAAATTGAGGAATAAAGATCAGCCAGCATGACAGGAAGAAATCCCTTACTCTTCTTTTGAGAGAGAACCATGAAAATGCATGCCCACAAAAGTAGATAAACTGGGCCTTGATTTC